AACTTAGAATCTGAGGAGAGTTTAGTGAAAAGACTATGAGCAGAATACAGGGAAGGAATCCTTAGATAGTACAATTACTAGTCTGGGGCTTGTAGCAATTATAACCTCTACACCTGAAGGCATGAGTGGAGGCTCATGGGTTATTCCATGCCAATTTTAAGATACTAGATAGTTCCTCTGAGTTGCTCACTGATAAAGAATCAAAAGAAGATGGTCAAATAGAAAGGGTGGCCTTGATAGGAGCAGAGACCTTAGGTAGGAAGAGACAGCCAGCTCCAGGAAGGGAACAGGAAAATAAACATGTTGATCTTGCTTCTCTTTTCTCCCTCCTTTCTGCTGCTGGGACTGTCTTCTCCCAGTAACTAAACACACTAGGACGTTAGGTAGATTGGGAACCCAGATGAAGTCCATACAGCTCAGCATGCCATTAGGAGTAGGAGGAGAAGGGTATAGAACTGGACACGGGAAAGTAAGATACTTGGCCCAATCAAAAACACCAAAAGCTGTCATAGTAGGTAAACTTGGCTTTCAGGGAAAACAGAGAGAGAGAGAGAGAGAGAGACAGACAGACAGATAGACAGACAGATTAGGGCTGGCCCTTGAGCTTACTGGTTAATGGAGCTAGACCTCAAATAGCAGACTACATTTGGAATCCCAGCCGCAGTGGCAATGTGGTAAGAGCCAAAGAGGAGCAGTGCATTTCCCCTCTTTGACATACACATGCCTTCTGGCAATTAAAAGAGAGAAAGAGAGAGACACACAGAGAGATAAAGCCCTCTGGTTCTCTCTGCAACTCTTGAGATTTCAATATTAAATACAAAATAGATATCAGGGTATTTGTGTACCACTGAATTAAAATTCTATGATATTAAAAAATATTTTGATGTATCCACTCTGCACAACATGAAACATCAATCTAATTTTTTTGTTCTTTTTCCTAAGTATTCTGAGTCCTTTAAATAGTGGAGAAGAGTTTAAATTCAGGAGCTCACTTTCCTTATAAGCTCATTACTATGCCCACAGCAATGAAAACAAAAGCATACTATTAGTGATAAATTAAATTACATGGTGATAGCCTTCTAAAAAGTTTCAAGTATTTCTTTTGCTGATAGCATTATTTTAGGTACAAAGTACTTTTCCTTTCTAGTCTTAAAAATTCTCCACCAATCACTATCTCAAGAGTTGGCAAACATTCTACAAAGGACTGACTAATAAATGTTTTAGGTTTGTGAACCAGAAGTACTGCTACAACTATGAACCCTTCAATTGTAAAAGAGAGATAATATGTAAATGAGTGTGGCCATGTTCCAATAAAACTTCATTTATAAAAGCAGGTGGCTGAATCTGGCCAGTAGATTGTGGTGTACCAACGCCTGCTCTACCTTGTCCTCATTTCTCATTCTTATTTCTTTATTTCTGCTCCTCTACTTAATTTGCTTCTTCATCAAAATGCTATTTCCTGTGACCCTGTATCATTTCCATGTTTCACTGAAAGACTACTATATCCAGCAAAGCTACATTTTCCATCTGTCTGCCCTTACTTGATAAAGATCAGAAAAGGTGGTCAGCAAAGTATTTCACATAACTAGAAATTTAAGACAATCAAAAAATAATTGAAACTTTTATATTAGAGTGTTGTAAGAAAGATTATTTGAATGAACAGTAACTTTTAAGTTTACCTGGCTCCAAACTGAGGCATCTTTGGTTCTATATTGAATGTTATATTTCAGTCTTGCAACAGTCTTAAAATATGGGTTACTCCACGCCAATTTTAAGATACTAGATAGTTCCTCTGAGTTGCTCACTGATAAGTTACGTGGTGCACTGGGTTTCACTGAGGGATAAAATAAATTCTAATGTTTATTATGTTTTATTTTTACATCTTCATACACAAACAAGATATAATCTTTATATTTTCCTTTACAATATTTTTTATCCTTACCAAATAAACAAAATTCTCTAAAAATAATGTCATGTTGTACTATATAATGGAAAAAAAAAACTTTAGTTTTCTTTGTCAGTTAATTTTATTTGTTAACCTTTTCAGGTTCAAATATCAAAAGACAAATACTTATAATTAAAATTTTTTTTCCTTTTTTTTTTTTTTAAAGATACTTTGCTGTAAGGTGTGCACACATGCCAAAGAGAGAGACAGAGAGAGGGAAAGTGAGATATCAGCCCCCCTGCCAGGGGACGGCCATACCACAATCCCTTCTCCTCCATTCTCCTTTTGGGATCTTGGGCACTTGAACCAATGGGACTTGAACCACAGAGTTGGCCATATGGGATCCAGTGCTTAACTGCCCACCACTTGCTGGCCCAATATATTAAAATTTTAAAGAAAGAGTAAAAACTGAACATGTTTACTATGATTACAAAGGTGTAAAATACTGGGTCATGATGTATGTTTTCAGGTTTTTCTATGCAAAAATGTGTCATGACTTTTCGGATGACCCAATAGTTTAAAAATTGGACAAATAACAGAAGATAATATTCAAAGTGAAAATAGCTGTAAGCATGGTTAAATAATTATTTTTCTTTTTCCAAATTATAATTAATATTGTTAACAAATGACTGTAAAAAAAGGTCACTAATAATAATGAAATAAATGCTTATTTTTACAATACTCAAAATAAAGGAACTAATTTATAAACCATTGGAAAGTGTCTCAAATTCAGATTTACGACTACCTTTATCTACAGGATCAAAATTGATATGATCTGATTTAGTCTTCCCAAGGGCATTCTCTGCTTCTACCCAGACTTCAATGTTGACAAAATACACAATCGTATAATCAAGAACACAAGAGGAGGGGGCATCATGTTTTGGTTTACAATCAGCAAACTTCTCTGTTGCCCTAAATACAAAAATGGAAAAATCAGTTAATAAAAATATATTTGCAAAAGTTACATTGAAAACAGTTACTTGAAAAGAGTTTGATGGGATCCACATCAGTGCAGCAAAGTTTATAATAAACTGTTGGTCTCCAAATTCAATTAACATGCTTTTTTTTTTTTTTTTTCTTCCTTAAGAGGTTTTTGCCTTAGGGGTCCATGTTCTAATGGGTGGGGTAGGGAGGGACAGAGACAGTGAGACAGAAGGTGAGAAACCACCACCACCACCACCACCCCCTCCCCCCCCCCACCCCCGGGGCGGAAAGCAAGAAATGACCCTCCAGGGGAGATGGCCACACTGCAATCCTTTCTCCTCCATTTTCTTCTTGGGATTTTGGGTACACACATAAACATGCCTAGCATGATGTTTAAGTCACCAGGTCTGGGACTCAAACCACATGCCCTTCTTTAAAACAGAGTCTGAACTGTAGATTAAGATACATTAGTTATTGTACTATTGTACTTCAGAATTTTATGCTCCATCCCTCCTGACTTCTCTCCAAAAATGATCTATTTCCTTGTGATCCTAGTACTGTTTTTCTCCTTTCCTGAAAAAGAATCCTACTATAACAGAACATCTTTCTTTATAAGTACAATATGCAATAAGGTGACAGGAAATTAGGATTAAGGACTCCTATCACCCCAGAAAATTCCTTCAGCCTCTTTCTAAACAAACTTAGGCAATTATTTTCTGATTTCAATCCCCATAAAAAGTTTTCAGTAATAATACTATATTTACTTGCATATATAAATTATACCTAAATTAAAAATATTTATATACAAATACTACTTTTAAAAATAAAAGGATAAGTTAACCCCAAAATCAAAATAGATAACCCTGAGGTGGAGAAAGTAAAGAAGGTAAAGGAGATAAAGATGAAACCTAGACTTCTCCAAGCATATACTTTGTTGTACTGATTAGGCTTTCTAGATTTACTACTTTACTATTTACTATTTTATACTTATTAAAAAAATCCTAAAAAAATCAAAATAAAAAAGAAACATGAATTTCAATAATGTGTATTGAATATTTTATTTTTTCTGAGTTTTTCTATAGGGTGCATGCACTCACTCACTGGAGACAGAGAAACAGAAAGTAAGAAATCACCCCTGGGGGGATGGCCATGTCTCAATCCTTCTCCTCCATTCTCCTCTTGGGATTTTGGGCATGCAAGCACATGCATCTGAAATGAGTTTTAAGATATCAGGTCTGGGACTTGAACCATGGTTGATTACATGGGAGTCCAGTGACGTAACCATCTGCTGGGCCCTGTGTATTGAATTCTTAGTATAAACACACAGAACTATTTTCAAGCTGCTTTAAAACACAGTAATTTGATGATACATTTTTCAAAAGAGAAAAAAAAATCTTAAAATTGTTTTTTTAGTAATCATACTGTTGGTGCTAATATTGGCATTGTTTAATGTGCAGCTGTTGTGTTTACTGTGCAATATAGCAAATGAATAATCATGTTGATGCTGTCAGAAATTAAGATATTTAGATGTTAGTGAATGAAATTATGTAAAAGCCCATAGTCCTGGTTTTAAATTGGGAATATCAATGTGAATTCATGATGTATTTTATCTTATGTAAAATGATTTTTTGGGAGCCGTCCTATAGTTAAGGAAGTCAGATCCTACATGGCCAACTATAGTTCAAGTCTGGCCCCAGTGGCTTGAAAGATGTACCAGGCATGTATACTTGTGTGCCTCAGATCTTTTTTTTTGGAGAGGCTTTTGCTATAAGACACATGTGTTCGCCAGAAAGACAGAGATAGAAAGCAAGAAATCACCCCCCAGGGTGGATGGTCATGCTGCAATCCCTTCTCCTCCAGGGATCTTAGGCACACATGCACATGCGCCAGACGTGAGTTTAAACCACCAGGTCCAGGACTTGAATCGTGGTTGACTACGTGGGAGTCTAGCGACATAGCCATTATGCCAACTGCTGGTCCCAGTGTGCCCCAAATCTGATGGGATAGGGAAATGGAGGAGGACTATGATGTGACCACATCCCTATTGTGGAGGAAATCTCTCTTCTGTCTTAGGTGAGTGCATATGCCCTCTGGCAATTAGAGAAAAAAAAAAGAGAAAAAAATATAATTTTTCCCCCTTTTTTCTTTTCTCTTTCAACCTCAATCAGAAGGAATTGGGCCCCAGAAATACGATTTTTCAAATCTTAAACCACAACATTTCCTAGCTCTTCCCACAGAGAAAGCCTAGAAACGATGACAACCCAGGAGCAATGAACCCCCTAGAACTCAGAATGTAGTCTTTTTATTTTATTTTTTTAAGAGGGATTTGTACTATAGAACGTGTGCACTTGCCAGAGGGACAGAGAGACAAAAAGTGAGAAATCATCCCTGAGGGGAGATGGTCATACTGCAATCCCTTCTCCTCCATTCTCCGCTCAGGATTCTGGGCATGCAAGCTCATGCACCCAGAGAGTTTTAAGCCACTGGTTATGGGACTTGAACAGTGGTTGACTACATGGGAGTCTAGCAACAATACCATTTTGTATCTGCTTGTCCCCAGAATGTAGTCTTTAATTTCACAGTAAATGGAACTAAATAGGCTCCTTGGGAAAATAGTTCTGAGTGAGATAACATAAAAGATAAATCTAGAAAATCATGTTATACCAGAAATCAAGGAAGCTACTGAAAACTAAGGAAGCTGTGCCAGAAGAATGTATGAGCCAACGTAAATAAATTCTCACTGACCGAAGAAGGGACAATTTAAGCATTGATAAAAATAATGACAATAATAGACTGAAATACATCAAATAAGTTTAACTATGAATTCATAATGAGGGAGAGAACTGCTAATTTATCCACCTTTGGAAGAGTCTAGGAAATCAACTCATTATAAAACTGGTAATAAAGGGAAAATAATAACATCATTTGCCTCTTTTATCTGAACTGTACCCCAGGGTACCCTATAGTCGATGAAGGAAAGTTCTTTTGGCATGTTAAAAAGAAAGAGGATACACACACATAACAATGATCAGTGATAACTCTGCAAATGTTTATGTAAAAAACTAATGGAAAGCAACATGGTTATATCTTAGAAATATTCTACTGAGTCAGAAAATGCCATTTTTTTAAAAAAGAGTTATTTTATTTAACCTTAATTAATTAATTTTATTCAGAGAGGGAGAGAGAGAGAGAGAGAGAAAGTGAGAAAGCAAGCCTCCAGATCCAAGACTTGAACCGTGGCTGGCCAGTGGGAGTCCAGTGCTCTTAAGTACCATGCCACCTGCTGGCCCCAGAAAATGTCATTCTGTTAAGAGGCAAAAATAATCTGTGGCTAAGAAAATCAAACAAGTAGTTGCATCATAGGATGCAGCATCGGCCAGGATTGACTGGGAAATAGCATGTGAGAACTTTCTGGGGATGTTAGTATGTCTTGAAGGTGATTTGAATTACACATGTGTATGTATGTACTTGTCAAAATTCACTAAATGATACACTTAAGGCCTGTGTCTTTATTTCATGATTCTTAAATTTTACCTAAAAATAAAAACAAATGTGTAAACAAATATGACTCTAGTTAATGATATACAATCTGAAATGTTTAAGGCTAAAGTATGCCAGTATCTGCAACTCTCTTTGAAATGCACACACACACATACACACACACACACACACACACACACACACACACACACGAGACTAATAGATGAAGAAGGATACATAGATAATGGGTATGTGATAAGGTGAATATAGTAAAATGCTAATTATACTGATAGAATCTAGGTAACGGTATGTATGAGAGTTCACTATACAATTCTTTCAACTTTTATATGTTTGAAAGAAATTGGGAATTTTATAAAAAATGGAAGAAGGTTGACAACACCTGAAATCATTGCTCAATCTTAAGTATCAGAAAACAAAACCACCAAACATTATGTGGTGGTTTCTGATGAAAGTACATACTACTCCTATGAAATGTTTCTAGAGAAGAAAAATAATCAAATCAAAGGCTGATCAAGTCTATAGACTATACTAATTTTTAAAAAATAAAGGGGCAAAGGAATATGTTAATCAATGTATAATAGTTATGTTAACAACTAGATTGTAAGGAAAAAAAGAAGAGAGAAGCATTTAGAACCTAAGTTTGAGATATACTTACAAATCTACCAATCTGCAATGAATGAACTCTATTTGGATTTGATCCAACAAGTGAGAGTGAGAGAGAGAGAGAGAGAGAGACAGACAGAGACAGAAAAATAATATAGCTTATTATTTTTCCCCAGTTGTCTCATATATACATATTTATGAGAAATAGCATATATACATATTTATGAGAAACTGGGAAAACTAACAGTAACTGAAAATTTGACATTAAAGTATTTTAAATTACATGTGATTATGTTTTTAAAAAGTATCCCTATCTTTTAGAGATCACACTGAAGTGTCTATGGATAAAATAATACGATGTCTAAGATTTCCTTCAAGACAATATGTGGTACAGGTCGTAAGCTAATCATCATTGAAGCTGGGTGATGGGTACATTGGAATTTAGTATACTATGTTTTGTACCTTTAGATATTTATATGAGCTGTTCCAAAATAAAATTCCAGCACAAATGGCTAACTTAATAAATCCAACATAACAATAAACTTAAGATAACATACCATTCTGATTTTAAAGTGAAGTTTGTTTCCAGATGTGTTTCCCTTCCAGGGTCCCAGTGACACAGCATTTTCTTTCCTTCATCCACTATGCAATCTAAATTTTTAGGTTTCTCTGGAGGAACTAGAATGGAATAATTAGCATTTTCCAAAACTTTATATCCACAAATACATGCAATTTATATACCACCCAAGACATTTACAACAATAAAAAATCAAACCAAAGTAGGCCAGGCCCATGACATGGAGATTGAGGTGGCTATATGCTCTATGTTTGACTGCATGGTTTGAATCCCAGGTGTGGTGGCTTGAGAAACATGCCAGGTACATGTGCATATATACCCAAATCCCAAGAGGCAGAGATAGCTGAGAAGTGATTACAGTGTGACCATCCCCCATGCAGGGTGCTTTTTCATTTTCTCTTTATCTTCCTCTGTCTCTCTCCAATATATCCATGTGCTCTCAGGCAAATTTAAAAAAAAAAAAGAAAAAAATGAAGCAAAAAGTATAAACATAATGTAAGACTGGCATCTAAAAAGTTTTCCCATTCAAACTCATAAACTTCTTTGTAGGTGGTAAGTAACATGTTAAAAATTTTTTTCAATTGACAGCATGTATGCTTGCTTGAAAGAGAGAGAGAGGGAGGAAAGGGAAGAGAGAGAGAAAGTACCCATTAATGGAGCATGGGCATGTCACAATCCCTTCTCCATTCTCTATCCTGTTAGAATTTTGGGCACGCACACATGTACCTAGCATGTTTTTTCAAGGCACCAGGACTGGGACTTGAACTACAGTTGGCCATGTGAGGTCCAACTCTCTTAACCACTAGGCAACAAGTGTGGGCCATAATATATATTTTCCAACATAACTGTCATTAACTAGTTTGTTTCACATTAATTCTCTATGTGAAATGAACTTTCATTTTTAACTATCGTATATAAAAATATCAATTGTCTTCTTCATTAAATGTATTTTTAAAAGTGATATTTATATATGTTAATAAGAGACAAGTATTGAATCATTGGAAAAGTCATGACATATTTTTGCATAGAAAAACAAAGAAAAATAGGTCATGACTTTTCTGATGACCCAACAGAAGTAAAAATGATTCCCTACTATTTCTATTATTGATTTTTCCATACCTTGTGGGAAAAATGCAAATAACAAAATTATAAAGTCAGGGTGATCAAATATTTGGTAAACCACTTGTAGATCATAGCAAGTTTATTTTATTTACTTTGTCCTTTAAAAAATACCTTATTGGACCTTCTCTAATATTTATTCACCTTCTTCAGGAAGCCACTTTACGTATGCATTTTCTGAGCAATTAAGGGATACTGAAAGTTTTCATATTTCAATTCAACAATACTTTAAGGGGGTGTCTCCTATCAAAATATTTTTCTAAAACACTGACAAATAGTTGACTTTCAGGAAAGGACAAAATTTATGTTATTCTTTGGACTTTTTGTATATTAATAAGAAAAATATATATGTATTTTTCTATATAAGTGTGTGTATATATGTATGTATGTATATATATATATATATATATACACACACACATATACACATGCACATATATATACAGTTTTTAAAGAGACAAGTTCTTGCTATGTTACTTGGGGTGGCCTTGAACTTGTGATCCTCCTGTCTTAGTCTCTGGAGTGGCTAGGATTACAGGCAAGTGCCTAGCTGTTATGCTTATTTTTTAAAAAAAATAAGTATGTCCAAAAGTCACTTAGTCCACAATTATTGCATTTCATAAAGACCAACAGACGATATTAAAAATATAGTTCAATAGTAATGACAAAGTCTACAGTAAGACAAAAACAAAACTTACAGCCTGAAATTATTGTGATTCCATAAACATTCTGTTCAATCTGTCCAAATGTAAGAACGTTGCAAGTGAGATGAGTATTCAGTAAACCTATATTTGTAAAAGTGACACTTGATGCTGTTTTGTTTATGATAGTATATTGCTCCTTAGGAATAGTAAAATGGCTTGTTTTCCAGTAAATGTAGTTAGCATTTACATGAAAAAAATCCATACACTCTTCCTTTACCACACAAACTGCAGTGAAATTAGAACCGCATTGGACAACTGCAGATGGAGGGTTGATATGACCACAAGAATGCAGAAGTTCATCTGAAAAGAAACAATAGAAAATAAAAAAATAGGCTGATTTTCTTCTGGTACAAAATGGTATTTGACTTCACTAAATTTCCCTTTTAAAGACAGAAAAAAAAAGCAAACATACTACTGTAAATTGATATGAAAGGAATTTAATGCTTAAGTTTATCAATATAAAGAAATATACAAATTGCAGGGCAGACAGCTGGATTAAGAAAATTAAAAAACCTATTTAAGCTTCAGACCACAGTATCATATTCTAACTTGTCTTCAGTACAGGGATGCCTGAAGCATGGCTCATACTTAATCACTACCTATCCAGGGTCTAACTTAAACTCTTCAGGTACCAGTCAGGGATAATCTCCTTCCATCTCCAGTCCTGCATACTGTTGGGGTGTGTCAATGGGACAATGTACATCATTCATATATCAAACTTCAGATAACTAAGGAAATAATAATAAAAAAAAGTCAGAAAGAACAAGATGGTCAAATAGAGCCAGCTGAAGGTATGGTGGTAAAGGGCTTATCTGGGGCTGGCAGGTGGCATGGTGGCTAGCGGCACTGGACTCCCATGTGGCCAACTGTGGTTCAAGTCCTGGCGACTTGCTTCCTCACTTTCCCTGTCTCTTGCTCTGTCTCTCTCTGGTCAAATTAAAGTCAATCAATCAATTAATAAAGTTAAATAATTCTCTGAAAAAAGGCTTATCACATTCCTTCTCAAGCTTCCTATTTCTTATTCTTGTATCTGTACCTCAGCCCACCATTCCTATCCAGTTATCCAGTCCAGATACTTTGTAATCACCTTCAACATCTCAAAATCTATCTCCTCTAACCTCCAACTTAGTAATATTGTACAAAATCTTATTAGTTCTATATACGTAATATATGTATCAATTTTCTCTTATCAGTACTTCGACTGCTGAAGCTCAAGTCATCATTTTACATCAGTATGACCTCCTTTCAGCTTACCCTATATACTGGCTGCCACAGGTACTGTTCAAAAGTGATTATACCATTTACTTACTTTAAATTATTTAGTGGCTACCCATTATCATCAAGATATAAATCTTGGGAGCCAGCAGCTGGCTTGGTGGCTGAGACACTGGACTACCACATGGCTGACCATAGTTCAAGTCTTGGACTTAGTGGCTTAAAAAAATCACATCAGGCACGAGTGTGTGTGTGTGTGTGTGTGTGTGTGTGTGTGCCCAAAAGCTCAGTAGGAGAAGGGACTGAGGCATAGCCACACCCTCTGGAGGGTGATTTCTCTTCCCCTCTCACTGTCTTTCTCTGACAAGCACACGTGTCCCATGGCAAAAAATCTAAAATAATAATAGTAATAATAAATAAGTCTCAACTATTAGGCATGATTCTGTTCTTTAGGCTCTCTGTCTACAAATTTTAGGCAGCTTTTCTAATAAATTCCATTGGCCAATGGGCTCCTGGGTGATGACCTGTCCTATCTGTATTAGTTTTCTTATTGCCAAGTGAAATTAATAATGGCTAACCTAAAGGTTTTTTTGAAATTAAAAACTACTTATCACCTAGGTACATTGTTTGCTACTCAACAGGCCTCCGGCACAGAATCATAGAGGTATGGAAAGAAAAGAATCTTAGAGTTCATTTACTTCAATCCTTTATTAAAAAAAAAAAAAAAAAAAAAGCCGAGATACCTTCATAAGTGTCGAACTCAATTATCAGCTAGGGTCTTTGAATTTTGAGCTTGGTCCCTTAAAAATTGTATGATTTTTTTTTTAATACATGCCTCTCAAAGTCAGCAAGAATTAAAGTTCCTGCAGTCAAAATTATACTCCCAAATGGAATCCTGGAACCTCTCATAAGTCTATAAGGCCCAAGTGTCAGAATGAGTCATTTTTTTTTAAACCTTGTAATTGCCTGCCAGTATCATCTTGCCATTATTTGTACCTGTATATAATAAATCCCAGTTAAATTACTCTCTATTTCTGATAGTACAGAACTACATCTTGTAACTTCTAATAAAGTTACCCTGTAATACTTGGCTAGTCATTACAATTCTTTGGACCTTATTTTACTCTTTGGCAAAATAGTACTATTCTATTTTTTAAAAAAAGTTATAGGGAGGCCAGTTGCATAGCACACTGGTGAAGTACCGGGCACAGAAAAGTGGATCCTACATGGCCAGTCAACAAAATTCCAGTCTTGGCAGTTTGAAAACCATGGTGTCATGTGCATGTACATGCTCAGGATCCTGACAGAAAGGAAGAAAAAAGGATTGTGGCGTGTACATGCCCTACTAGGGGATGCTTCTCTGTCTAGCAAGTGCATGCACTTACTGACGATAAAAACTACAAAAAAATGGAATTAAAATACGGACTAATTAATGAAAAAAGATATTATAGGGAATAGTAAATCTGAAATATATAATAGTGTAATAAAGAATGTAAGATATAATCAAACTCAATACCAATTTTAATCACACAGAATAAGACAACTACAAGAAATGGGCAAACATTCCAGTTTTTCTTTTTTTTTTTTTGGAGAGGTTTTTTCGCTATAGGGTGCGTGCGCTCACCAGACAGAGAGAGACATAGAGACAGAAAGTGATAAATCACCCCCCAGGGGGGATGGTCACGCCGCAATCCCTTCTCTTCCATTCTCCTCTCGGGATCCTGGGCATGCACGCACACACGCCCGGCGTGAGTTTTAAGCCACTGGGTCCGGGACGTGAACCGTGGTCGACTATGTGGGAGTCCAGTGACATAGCCATTAGGCTAACTGCTGGTTCCCAAACATCCCAGTTTTCAAAGCAAAACACCGACTTGTTAAAATCATCCTATGCCAAATTAATCTCATTTGATAGGACTACCAGACTGAGATTAAACTATTCAGAGAATCTAGGAAGATACTTGATAAAGTAGTTCTGAATATTCATGTGGGCAAGATGAAACATGGATCAGAATATTATAATAGGTAGTAGAATGAACATTATGAAATTGCTAAATTTAGCTATTTGTCATAGGTTCAAAATAATAAGTTTATAATTAGCTAAATCATATGTAGAACACACTAAGAAAAGTCAATGGAAGTAGTTCTTGAGTGGATTATGCTAAGGGATTGCCCTTAGTCCTTCAGAGCAGAAAGATTTTTCAAAGACAGTCATTCTATTTTTCACTTAATATTTATCCCATCTCCCATGTTCTTAAAATGTCACTGACATGCTTTTATGAAGTGCAATCTGTATTTCCCCCAGCCACCTCAGATTTGTGTGTGCTTGCATCTGTCTCAGCCAATGGAAACTGTTATGTGACTTCCAAGGCTATATCATTAAAAGAATACAGCTCCTGTTACCTTTGTTTCTCTACTGGAACATTTGCCCTGGGAACCCAGCCACAAAGCCAAGGCCACACGAAGGAGGAGGATTGTGGCATGGCCATCCCCCCTGGGGGGTGATCTCTTGCTTTCTGTGTCTCTGTCTTTCTGGTGAGCGCACGCGCCCTATAGCAAAAACCTCTCCAAAAAAAACACAAAAAAACAAAAAAAACTCATGCTGGGCGCATATGGGCACTTGTCCAGAATCCCGAGAGAAGAATGGAGAAGGGATTGCAGCATGGCCATCTACCCTGGGGGGTGATTTCTCGCTTTCTGTCTCTCTGTCTTCGGTGAGCACACGTGTCTTATAGCAAAAATATCTCTCTTTAAAAAAAAAAAAAAAAAAAGAAATAGGGACCAGTAGATGGTGTAATGGTTGCATCACTGTACTCTTATGTAGTTGACCACGGTCTGAGTCCTAGATCCCGTGGCTTAAAATCACACCAGGCATGTCTGAGTGTGTGACCAAAATCCCTCAAGGAGAATGGAGGAGAAGGGATTGTGGTACAGCCATCCCCAGTGAGGGGTGATATCTCACTTTTTGTCTGTCTCTCTCTCCAGTGAGCGCACACACCCTACAGCAAAAAATCTCTCTTAAAAAAAAAAGAAAGGGGAATTAAAAAGTTCATGGGAAAATGGAGTTAAAATACAAGTTTACAAGGCCAGTAGTTAGCATGGAGATTAAGCAGTTGTACCCCACATGACTAATGGTGTAGTTTGAGTCCTGGACCCAGTGGCTTGAAAAATATAACAGGCACACATGTGTGCATGTCCAAAATCCCAAGAGAAGAACAGTAGAGAAGAGATTGTGGAATGGCCTTCCCCTCTGGGGATCGGTTTCTCATTTTCTCTCTTGCTCTCTCTGCCTCTCTCCAGCATATGCACATGCTGTAAAAATAAAATGCTCTAAAAACAAAAATGAAAAAAATAGAAGTTTATTGTGATGAAAAAAACCTTGCAATCTATGCAGTTTTTAAATAATGAAATTTTTGATTATCTTTTGTGTGTGCACACAAGTGTGCAAGTGAGAACTGGCTTAAAAATGATGTTCAGGAACCAGCAAGTGGTGCAGTGGTTAAGGTGCTGGACTTCCACATGGCCGACCACATTTTGAGTCCTGGACTTGGTGGCTTGAAACTCATGCTGGATGCATGTGCATGCATGCCCCAAATCCTGAGAGAATGGAGGAAGAGGGACTGTGGAGTGGCCATCCCCCTGGGGGGTGAGTTCTCGCTTTCTGTTTCTCTGCCTCTCTCTCTGGCTCTCCAGTGAGTGTACACACCCTATAGCAAAAAAAAAAAAAAAAAAAAAAAAAAGTTTGTTCGCATCAAAGTAAATAATAAAGCCATTTTTCTCGAACAAGTATATTTACTTATCTCAAACTCTGGTACATTTATTTTTTCTATAAAGTGCACTTTATTCAAAGACAACAATAACTCTAATAATAAATATAACTACCCTTTCTATAATGCTTACTGTAGGCAAAGTACTGTCCAAATGCTTTTTATATAATAACTCATTTAATTCTTATAAGACCTCTAGGAGATATGGACTATTATTATCCCCATCTTATAGATCAGGGAGCTGAGGCACTGATTAAATGGTTTGCCAAATTTCTATAGCTGGTTAATTGGGGAAAATGAAATATATTTTAAATGTGATGTAGGTAACTAGTATATACAAAAAGCCTCATACTGGCTGATAAGACTGATTAATAAAGAATGATTATAACTGGGCTGGGTCAACCCAGCCCCATAGCACAGTGGTTAAGCACTATGCAATGGGAGTCAAATCGTCTGGCTGACTAAACTTAGAATCCTGGCCCTGGTGGTCAAAGAAGGCATGTGTGCCTACAGGTCCAAAATCCTGATGGGAAGGAGAAAATAGGGGAAAGGAACTGTGGTATGACTACACCCCATCATGCGATGCTTCATCTCTTTCCTTTCTCTCTTTTTGGTAAGTGTACATGCCCTCCAGCAATTAAAAAAAGGGGAAGATAGCTGTGCAAATTTGGTTTGGAGAAGACAACTTAGGAAGCACAGGAGAGAAGTTCTTCAATACTTACAGAATTAAAGAGTAGGAAGAGATATTTGGCCTACTTTAGAACTAGAATTAGTGAGCGAAAGTTACAAGAGGGAAAATTTGGGTTTAAGAATGAGGAAGGTATTTCTAAACAAGAAAGATTTTCAATATTAAGTTTTCTGTCACTTAAAGTGTTCTAAAGGGAGTTACATTCTGGATTTGGAGAGGGTCTGATACAAAACATGACTTCTCAAACTACCTGTGATGAAAGTTTGTTTCAGACTATTATTTTTTCTTCCATTCTGAAACAAACTTTTTCTCTCTATTCTTTGACAAAGCCAGCCTACTAGTCATGTGCTTAGGTGTTACAGCTATGTCAAATAGTTAAGAGTTTCTAAACTTTTATTTTTAACCTCTATATTTATCTCACTGTAACAACCAGACAGGTATCAGGCTATGGACTTGTAGTTTGAGAATGATACTCTAAGCACCTCTTCATTCTGGAGTCACAACCACACTGCTCAGAGACAATTTTGGCAATTAAAGACTCGAATGTTAAGAACATAAAAAACACACACTTTTTCCCTTCCCCACCTTAAAGTTACCGTTGGTATAGTGAAATAACATTTAGGATTATTGAATGAAGGATTATTACAACTCAAATTATCAAAATAAATTATCAAGAGTATTATTATTAAGGTAATTTAAAGACATTCTCCCAGTAATGATCCTAAAATTTACATATAAGCATACTTCTAGTTACTAACATAAACCTAATTATATAATTACTAAAAATATCTGAATCGAACCTTACCTATAGATGCAGTGGTGAGGGAAATACACAAGGCTTGTACTAGCCAAATCAATGTCAACATGGTGCAAAGATATTTCTGTAACAGACATGTAATATTATTATAAATATTTATAATATTTATAATATCTTATATACATAAGATATTATATATTATAATATCTTATATCCATATAATTAAAAACACAATCTTTTGTTTCTATCACGTAGCTGATTTCTAAATGGTGATAAAATTTTTATGAGAATGCAGTAAACAAGTTTAAGTATTCAGAATATTCTTATTTATTCCTACTGAAGGCATGGCTATGTAAAACTTCCAGAAAGCAAAACTTATAAATTAGGTTAATTAAAAGAGTTAGTTTATTTATTATGGTACATCTTACATTATTAGTAAATAACTGTGAGATTAATAAGTTCAGAGAGACAAATTTTTGCAAGGCAAAATCCACCATAAATAACCTCAAAAAATATTTGGCAAATGGAAAAGAATGCTTGTAATTTACGGCATGACAAATTTAGGAAGGATGCCTACATATCACTAAAAAATTCTAACACCTACCAAAACAACAACAACAATAACAAAAACAGGCAAAAGATTTGAAAAGCAAATTTATAGAAAAGGAAATACAAGTAACTCAAATATATGAAAAATACTTAAAATGAGAGATGCAAATTAAAACTACCCAGATAGAAATATAAAATTATAGGGACCAGCAGTTAGCATAATGGCTATGTCATGCATGCGTGCCCAAGATCCCGAGAGGAGAATGGAGGAGAAGGGACTGCAGCATGGCCAACCCCCCTGGGGGGTGATTTCTTGCTTTCTGTCTCTCTGTCTTTCTGGCGAGGGCATGCACCCTATAGCAAAACAAACAAACAAACAAACAAACAAAAAACTCTCAAAAAAAAAAAATGAAACCCGTTTTCTTGAAATTGAAAATGCATAAAAAATACCTATTAAATGACTGTACTAAGCTATACATAGCCCCAGCTAGATGCTACTTTATAGTATGTTCATTCTATTCACTGAGGTTTATGCCTAAAGTCAAACATGTGTTTATACATATGTATATATAAGCTGTGCTTGCTACTGAAAGTATTTAGATTAATTATGATCTTTAGTGAATCAATAAACTGTGAGAAATAAAAGGCATGGAAAGCAACTGTAAATACCAGAGACAGTGTGAGAGGAGGGTGGAAATGGCAGAAGGTGAGAAGTAGGGATCTCTCCTCACCTCTTGCAGAACTGTCAGTATGTATTACACCCATGTATTTCATACATTGATTTTCTTTGTGATCTGCTTGTTAGAACTGAATGATCCTTCAGCAGCAGTAATTCCTTAACTATGGTGGTTCAACAGAGCAGTATATTCAAAAGAACTATGAAATGTCACCAAGAAATTTGCTATTAAAGTAACAACAACAACAAATCGGAACAAATTCAAGACTATCCCCAACATCATTTATTTCTATTCTGTCTTTTTGATAATAACCATACTAACAGATGTGAAATTATGTTTATTGTGGCTTTGATTTGCATTTCTCTGATGAGTCATGATGGTATACATTTTTTGGTATATTTGTTGGCCATTTGTATATCTTCTTTTAAGTATATTCAAATCGCTTGTCTACCATTTCGTCTGGTAATTTTTTTTTTCTGTTGAGTTTCTAAGTTCCTTGTATATTTTGGCATTAATCCCTTTTTGAATAAAGTTTGTGAATATTTTCTCCCATTCTCTAGCTAATCTCTTTACTCTGTTTGCAGCTTTTTAGTTTGATATAGACCCATTTGTTTATTTTTGCTTTAGTTACCTATACTTTAGAGATCTTATTCACAATTTTTTTCTAGACCTATGTCTGAAGTGTTTCTCTATGTTTTCTTTTAGTATTTTCATAATTTTGGGTCTCAATTTAAGTCCTTAATTCATTTTGAGTTGATTTTTATATATGGTAAGAGATAAGGATCTAATCTCATTTTTCTGCACATGGACATCCAATCTGTAAATATTTAATCAACCTACATTAAATTAACTGCTAGTTATTTTTAAAATTATGCATAATTTTTCTTCCATTAGTATCAATTACAAATTCATAATAACATTTGGATACTATTTTATTTTACACAAAATACTTTCATGTAAATTATTTCAGTTCATTCTCCTATTATCCTAGAGAAGCTGATGTGTAGGGCAGGGATTATTATTAGAACTTTACGAAAAGAAAAAACAAAATTCAGACAAAGAAAATGACTTACCCAAATCACAAAATCAGTAAGTGAAGAAGCAGGAATTTGAAACTAAGTCCTTTGCCTCCAAATGTCATGCTCTTTCCTTTTGGTTTCACTGTAAAGATAGGAGAACCTCGTTCAGAGAGGTGGCTTCAATAATATTTATTACATGTGTGCTTTTTAAAACTTTGCTGTTAAGCTTTTAAATTTCCAGAAAGTATCCTGCTTTAGATATCTTCTGAGTTTCATAATAACATAACTCCCTAAAAATACTTATTCAAGAGGATTCAAATACCCTTGTATTATATTTTGATATGTACTTGCAAACATTACTAGCTTACCCGCGCCTAAGTGGAATGTTCTTGATTAACTTAGAAACAGTTAAAGCTGTTCTTTAACAGAAGCATAACTTTTGTCTTCTACAAGTACTAAATTGGGTTTGGACCGTAATTCCAAAAGATAGCCATAATCCCAAAAGCATCAAAATCCCTAGTCTAAAACCCCAAAAGATTAAAATCCTGAAAATACAATTCTGGAAAAAATAATTTAAAAATATTCTGTAAAGACATTTATTTACATTGTGAAAAGGGGACTTTAGAAACATATAAAAACAACAGAACACTTCACAGACTACACAGTAAAACAGGCAGTAATAATATACATATTTTTGCAAGCATAAATACTTGAGTTTACTAATGACAGTCACATGGGCTTAACAGTTATGAGCAAACAGTTTTCATAAAGAAATAGGTCAAAATAAAATTAATAACTGCTTATTAGTATGGTTTAATTGTGTATATCCAGTTTTATAACTGAAATATGATGATGGAAACCAGATGTTTTTAAAAAATCAATCTAAAACCACAATGGGTCATTAGTGCACATGTAGGTGCCTGAAGATTTGAGAAATTTTATTTTTGACAAATACAAATATACAAGAAGAACATCTCTTCACTTAATGAGTAAGCTTCAGCATTTTTATATACATACCCAATGCTTATACTTAAAGGCAATGTTGTAATAATACACTTTCATGAAATCAAATTTGCAAAACACATGCAAAACGAATTAGCACTAAAAATCCTTACATAATTTAGACTTCCAGTATTAGAAATGATATGATGATGAAATATACAGCTGAAAATTTAATATAGTAGAGGAAAAAGTCCTGATAAACAAAACAAACAAAAATTCAACACACGAAAAGTTTATATAGGGACAGATTGTAGACACTTGCACATAGGTAGTCCACAAGAGCTTGCTGACTCACAATTTTGGTCTTCAGGATTAAAAAAAAAAAAAAATTGCAGAGGTCATATGCATTCACCAGATAGACATGAGAGAGAGAGAGAGAGAGAGAGAGAGAGAACAAGAAAGCACCTCATAGTGCTGTAATCCCTTATTCTCTATTTCTGCTTCTTTTTTGAATTTTGGTGATGCAAGCACACATGCCTACCATGTTTTTCAAGCTGCCTGGTCCAGGACTAACCATACAGTCAGCCATGGGAGATCCGGCTGCTTTAACCACCATGCTATAGGCTGGCCTAGCTTTCAGGATTTTAACACTAGGGATTTTAATCTTTTAGGATTGTGATTTTTGGGGATTTTAGATGTTAGAATTTTAGATGAGGAATTCTAATCTTTTGAGATTTTAACATTTGGGATTATAGTTGTGTCTATTGGGATTATGATAAGCAGTGCACTAAATTAAGCCTCCTGTCTCCTCAACTGCCAAACTAAACTATGCACAGAGATAAAACTTCATTTTAAGATTTGCTCACTACTAGGTTAAACTACAGCATAAACAGAGGTGGATCCTCTTTGAAATAGAATAAGATAACCTCTTTGAATGTAACAAGGAGTGAAATCCATTTAGTCTTTGACATAATATATATAAAAATTAGAACAATGACATTTAAAAATTTCAAATGAAAATAAACTGGAAAAAAAAAATCATGTGATACTCCCCTCTAACCCCTCTAAGAGACAAGTACTATGAATGTTTTGGTAAATATTATTGAAAAATTTCTATGCATAGGAGTTTATATTATATAAATATATGCCTTGCTATTTCATAAACATCAATTGCACAAGTAACAAATATTCTGTAAATTGCATTCCCCCCCCACATAACACTACATATTGGATATTTTTCTAAACTAACAGAGTAATCCTTGAGCCTTTGCTTAAATTTACCTTCTAATAGAGATCTTCCTTAACCATCCTGTACTGCTATCTCCCCTTTCCTGTTTTTTTTAAAGAATTATTTTATTTAACTTTATTTATTATTATAATTTTCCAGTTTTTTTCTGAAAGAGAGATAGAGAGAGAAAGAGAGGGAAAGCAAGAAAGCAAGTTGCCAGGTCCAGGACTTGAAACCGTGGTCAGGAATGCAGGGGTCCAGCTTTCTCAACCACCATGCCACCTGCAGGCCCCACCCCCTTCCCCATTTTTGTTTTTCCTTCTCCATAGCACACAACTAAAACAGGTTGGTAAATGCTTTCTGTAAATGGGCAGATAATAAATATTTTAGGCTTTGTGAACCTTAAGTTCTCATTGTAATTAGTTAACTAAAGAGCAAAAGCAGCCATAGACAATGATGTAAACAATTGGGCACAACTCTTGTTAAATAAAACAATTTACCAAAATCAGCTGTAACAAGGTATGGCGATGTATGCAAATCTTCTCTACCCAAAGGTGGTTCTGATGATGGCTGTGTGAAAGTTGGGATGTTTATAAACACGAAGGTGACCAGTCCCAGAAGATTTCTAATGAATTCATGAAGCCTATGCTTGGTAAACAAGACCCTTTCACAATCCATTCTTAGCTATTCCCTATCCCTGAAACTGCAACCTACAGATGAAAATCTATAATGCTGGAGTGACTGCTTTCTAAAGAACTCATGTCCAAAATAAACTATGTCTGTGGTGTTAAGGCATCAAAAAAAAAGAAAAAGAGGCTATTAAGTTGGATTTGGTTTGTGGGCTACAGTTTGCTAGTCTCTGTTCTGAAATACCATAATTCTCTTGCTTTTCTTATTGTTAGTTATGGGTTGTATTATATCCCCCTAAAAATATATGCTTAATCCTAAACTTCAGTATCTCAATATGTAACCCTACTAGTTTACTCTAGACATAATTAGCTAACATGTCATATACTGGAATGGTGGTGGGAGGGATCTTTCATACAAAGACTAGTGTCCTAAGAAGAGTCAGAGGCACAGGAAGAATGCCAGTGACAACTGAGGCAGAGATTACAACATACCTGCAATCTAAGAAATACCAAGGATTACTGGCTACCACCAGATGCTAGAAAGGAAAGAAGGATCTGTCCTGAGTCTAACAAGGATGTCTAGCCTCCAGAACCTTGAGAATAAACTCTTTTAAGCCATCCAGTTTGTGATGCTTTGTTACAGCTGCCTAGGAAACTAGTATGTTGTCCATGTTCCCAAAAGAGAATGTTAAGCACACAAGTCAGGGTATGTTATCTAATTTGCTCACTGCTATATTCCTAGAATCTAGAATCATATCTAGCATAGTAAGCACTTAATGTATTTTGTGAATGAATGAACTTCATTTTGAATATATACATAATATATTAGTATATAAATACCTCATCATTTAACAAGTCTCCCGAGTCTTTGTATGGACATAGGCTTTTATTTGTTTTGGGAAAAATATCAAGGAGTAGAATGGCTAGGCCATATATCTTCTTTGGTGATGTATCTGTTTAAATAATTTGCTCATTTTTTAATTGGGTTTCTTGTTTTCTCATTATTAAGTTTTGAAAACTTTAAAACAGATTCTGGACATAAGGCCTTTATTAAAAAATCGATGTGTATATTATTTTCTGCCAATTTGTGGCTTGGCTTTTCATTCTTCGAGCAGTTTTTTTTTTTTTTTTTTAAGAACAAAAGGTTTAATTTAATGACATCCAATTTGTCAATTTGTGCCTTTGGTGTAGTACCTGAGAAATCTTTACCTAATCCACAAATTACAAAAGTTTTGTAACTTTGCCTAATCCAAAGTTCCAAAGGTTTTCTCTAGAAGGGTCTAGAAGGTTCAAGTTTTTTTTTTTTTTTTTTTTAAAGAGAGAATTTTTGCTATAGGATGCATGTGCTTACCGTAGAGACAGAAAGCAAGAAATCACCCCCCAGGAGGGATGGCTAGGCAGCAATCCCTTCTCCTCCTCCATTCTCCTCTCAGGATTTTGGGCAAGCATGTACACATTCCTAAGTTTTAAGCCACTGGGTCTGGGACTTGAACTGCGGTCAGCTACGTGGGAGTCCAGTGAAGTAATCATTACACCATCTGCTGGTCTAGAAGATTCAAGTTTTAGGGATTTTTTTTTTTTAGGTCCTTTAAATATTTTGATTTAAAGAGAGACTTCTAAAAGTTCATGAAAAAATGGAATTAAAATATGAGTTGATTCTGGGGTCCCAAATTTTGAAATCCCTGCATACTTTTATCATAATATGCATTTTTCATGAACTTTGTGAAGATCCTGGGTATTTCTATATGGTATAAAGCACAATTCAAGCTCATTTTGTACGTAAGGCTAGCTGGTTGTTTTAGAACCATTTGTTGAAAACTATCCTTTCTCAAATGAGTTGCCTATGTACCTTTCTCAAAAACCTTTGTCCACATATTTCTAGGTATATTTGTATACTCCATCCCAGAAATGAACAAACTTTGCATGTAAAGGGTTAGAGGATAAACATTTTAAGTCTCTATTGGAACTAGCAATCTTCTGTTGTGGCACAAAAACAGCCATAAATAATACATGTACAAGGGGTTGGTTGTGTTCTAATAATACCTTATAAAAACAGAAAAGTGGGCTGGACTTCACCTGTGGTCACAACTTACCGGCTGTTGATCTGCTTCTTCCACTGATCTATTTGCTTATCTTACGTAACTAATATACTGTCATTATGATGGTAGCTTGAAGAGTCTTGAAATCAATAGTCTGTGTGCACTTAAAAAGTATCGCTGCTGGGTAGAGTATTATATAAATGTTTGTCATGCCATTTTATAGACTGGCGTTGCTCAAATCTTCTATTTCCTTACTGATTTTGTATCTATTTCCTTTGTCAATTATTGAAAGTGCAGTATAGAA